CAAAACATGCCATGTGTCTGAATAAGTCTCAATACTGTAAAGCTACCCCTTATCCTACAATTAATCAATAATCAGCACAAACCCATCAATACTTTACGTGGGGTATTTCTTTGAGATTTGACAAAATGATCGTAAAGCTGATCATACCCATGCGGGTGCACTAGACCTGGGCACACATGTATTCACTATTCAGCATGTGTGTTATATTTTAATAGAAAGCCCACCCCCACACAGGCACAGTGTACGGCCACCAGATGAGAAAGATCAAATCACAGAGAAGCAAGTACAGAAACTATCCCGTGTATGATAAAAATGGAACAGACAGTCAATAGAAAATACGTGGTTAGAATAACTGGTTAATATTTGGGGGAAAAAAATGGATGTATCACCCTTTACCCTTCAGAAAGTTGCAGCTAAAGTTTTAAATGTCAGAACTCTGCAAAAACGTAGATGTATAAGTTACAATCAACTCATGTAATGTACATGACCTTGGGGAAAGGAAGGCCTTTCTTGAATGATTCTAAGGCTAGACGCCAGCAAAAAAGAGGCTGACAGGTATGACAGGGAAAAATTGTGTGGCAAACGGTATATAAACATTACTGAAAAGAAAGTGAAAAATAATAAACTGGGAAAAATATTTCCAACATGAGAGAAAAACAGACTCAATAGCCTTAACACATAAAAGAACTCTTAAAAATAAGTAATGAAGACACATGCCCCAATAGAAAACTGGGCAAAGGTGGAAAGTTTTTAAAAGACACACATGGCCAGTGAGCACCTCCGAAAAGCAGTGTGTGGCATACGAATGAACACTGCAGCTAGCGAAGATCACACTGGCATCCATCAAAAGAGGAGCCCTGCCCAAAATTCAAAATGGAATCTGCTTACACTTCTACCAACTTATCATCTACTGATATATAGGAAACACAGGTCAGTGAAGCAGGTAAAACCTCAGGGAGATATAATTAGCAAAATTAGCATAAACTCTACTATCCAGTTTCTGGAGGGGAAGGGAGGGAAGGAAGATCCCTGCATAGAGAGAGACTTAGGAACCCATCAGCTTGTCATAGTGCGTGGCCCTGATGCGGATCCCAATTCAAGCAAGTTGCAAAACACAAAACAAAAACAATTATTATGAAATTGATGAAGCATGTAGAAATTTGACCAAAAGGTAGGTATTTCATGATACAAGGAATTACTGTAAATTTTGCGTTAGGAGGGGCAATTGTATTGTGGTTTTGGTTTTCGAAAGTCTCTTTGGGAGACACACTGAAAAAACAGCACAGCTGCAGCCATATTCTGTCTGGTATTTGCATCTAACAGAGGAAGCAAGTGGGAAGAGGCAGGCAGGGCTGGCAGCGGCCAAGCGTCACTGGAGCTGGATGAGAGCTGACGGGGCTCCACGTCCTGTTTGTTTAACCTGCTTACTTTTGTGCATGCAAAATGCTCCATGTTTAAAAAAAAAAAAAAAAAAAAAAAAAAAGGCTCTGCCAATGTTGGTGCAGAGGGATGGGACATGGGCTCTTGATACCTTTCCAGAGGGCAGAAAACCAGAAGGTGCCCTCTGATCCAGCAGTGCAACTTCTAGAATGTTCTAATGAATATAAGCAACGCTTTACAAAATATAAGGATGTTTAGACAGCAACTTCTGTAATAGGAAGCAGGTAGATAGAACCTACACACTCATTATGAAGGAACTGGGTAAATGTGACGTTTCCATTTAATGGTATACTGTGTAGCAGTAATACTTAAAATGGTCTAATACATACTGACATGAAAAGACGTACATGGTGTTAACATTAGAAGTATACGCTAGGCTGCGCACAGTGGCTCACATCTGTAATCCCAGCACTGTGAGAGGCCAAGGTGAGCAGATGGCTTGAGCCTAGAAGTTCAAGACCAGTCTGGGCAACATGGTGAAGCCCCATCTCTACAAAAAATACAAAACCTAGCTGGGCGTGGTGGCGCACACCTGTGGTCCCAGCTACCCAGGAGGCTGAGGAGGTACCCATCTGGGCCTGAGAAGTCAAGGCTGCAGTGAGCCATGACTGTACCACTGCACTCCAGCCTGAGAAACAGCAAAATACAGTATCAATTTTAAAACTATAAGCTCAAGAGCATATATTCACATAGAAAAAAATTTGGAAGGACATACATCAAAATGCTAACATGAGTTACTTTTGAGTAATGGGATTATGGATGACTTCATTTTTATCTAAAATTTATAGTTTTTTCTTTAATAAGTATGGATTTCAAGTATACTTTTTTATTGTTTTAAAAACAAATTTGGAAATAAACTATATTTTAAAAGGAAAAACATTTCAAATGATGTTAATATACCTTTGTTAGCCACTTACCATGCTTTTGAATGATCTGAAATGTTTCATAAGCTGTTGGCTTAGAAACCATAATTATAAACTTACTTTGTGAAATTATTCAAGGTCTGTTTTGACATTTTTAGCCCCCATATCCTCCCAAAAGCAATAGCAGATTATAATTAAAGAACAAATTGAAAATGTATCTAATGGAAATACACACACATCAATGCCCAGGCTGTTTCCTCAGGGTGTAAGAAAATGTCTTCTTCCTCCTCTTTTGATAAGAATACAAAGATGAAGCATTTTAAAGGGATAATCCCATTTCACGCTCGTCACGGGTACATCAAGACCCAGTTTAGGGAAATCTATGCAGGTTTTGCCTATTAGCTAATCTGTTTTAGTACCTGTGGTGCTGACAAATTAATTTGGCAGGGAGAAACCGTGCTGCACGGGGCAAGCTCTTCCAGGTAATCCCAGCATGAGGCGGGTTGGGCTGGAGAGCAGACACCGTCCTGTGGCCAGGGATGACTCTGGAGCCAGGGCAGTGGGGCTGAAGGCCAGCTTGGATGCCAGGGAAGCTGTGACAGCAAGTCAGGAGGTGGGTGAGGGGCAGCTGCCAGAGGACAACCACGCTGTAGACAGGACCTCTGTCCGCAAAGGCCAGACCAGGCTGGGACTGAGGTGTGGACCACACCGAGGAAGGTCTGGAATTTCTGAGCCTTCTATTTTATGGCCTGCACTAAAATGGTTGGAACCACGAAGACACTGTTGCCATCCCCCATTTCAGGGACCCAATGACAAGCTCCTGCATTCCCTTCACAGTCCAGGAACTCCAGCACCTCGAGAAAGCTGCTACATCTCCACTGTGATGGTTAATACCGAGTGTCAACTTGACTGAAGGATGCCAAGAACTGTTCCTGGGTGTGTCTGTGAGGGCGTCGCCAAAGGAGATTAACATTTGAGTCAGCGGACTGGGAGAGGCGGACCCAACCTCAGTCTGGGTGAATACCATCGAATCAGCTGCCAGCTCAGCCAGAATAAAGCAGGCAGAAGAACATGGAAGGACTGGACTGGCTGAGTCTTCCGGGCCTCCGCCTTCCTCCCATGCCAGATGCTTCCTGCCCTCAAACATCAGACTCCACGTTCTTCAGCCTTTGGACTCTTGAACTTACACCAGTGCTTTACCAGGGGCTCTTGGGCCCTCGGCCACAGACTGAAGCCACACTGTTGGCTTCACTACTGCTGGGGTTTTGAGACTCAGACTGGCTTTCCTGCTCCTCAGCTTGTAGATGGCCTTTTGTGGGACCTGATCGTGTGATCGTGTGAGTCGATCCTCCTTAATAAACTCCCCTTCATGTTCACATCCATCCTATTCTGTCCCTCTAGAGAACACATGTACACCCACATTCCGGCCAGCTGCACCTCATCCCTTTCGTCCTTGTCACCTGGTCACGTTTCGCGGGCTTTGCTTTTCCAGAGCAGAAGGCCTGCTTCGGGCTGGAGGGGCTGTGCACCGGGAGGGACGGTGCTAGCACAGAGGTCACACTCCAGGCTAAGGACAAACCCGACGGCGACCTCCCACCACACAGATGGGAACCGGAGGCTCCAATCAGCCCAAGGACTCATCAAGGACACGTGGAGATGGTCAGCGGAGATGAGATGGAAACTCATATCTGTCCGACTCTCAAGTGGGGACATTTTCCGTGGGGCAGGAGGATGCCCGGGGACTGTTCTCTACCAAAAGCCAGCTTCATATAAACAGCGCGAGGGACACACACCATTTCTGCTACAAAACACCAACAGACACCGCGTGGACACCTGCTCTCTCCATAAACGAGGGTGAGAAGGAAGAGTTTACACACATAAAATGAACGTGCTGTGAAACCAAGTTTTTTTCCCCACAAAAATTAAGACGTGTATCTCATTTTGAAGAGAAGAACAAATTAAAGCTCTTCAGAGAAACCTTTTTTTTTTTTTGAGACAGAGTCTCACTCTTTTGCCCAGGCTGGAGTGCTATGGTGTGGTCTCGGCTCACTGCAACCTCCACCTCCCAGGTTCAAGCGATTCTCCTGCCTCAGCCTCCTGAGTAGCTGGGATTACAGGTACCAGTCACCGAGCCCGGCTAATTTTTATATTTTAGTAGAGACAGGGTTTCACCATGTTGGCCAGGCTGGTCTTGAACTCCTGACCTCGTGATCCACCCGCCTCGGCCTCCCAAAGTGCTAGGATTACAGGCATGAACCACCGCACCCAGCCACAAAAATCTTTTCTAAGGTCACAAATGCCAACACCTCCTCCCTCCCTCCTGGCTGTGGCTGTCTGGCACGGACTGACATTTTCGAATCTAGTCACAGCTCTGGGATCTCACCCAGGTTAATGGAGACATGTCCTGTAATGCTGGATAATCCGTATCCCAGGTGGCTCTCACCAGCCTCCTTTCAACACCTGTCTTCCTCTGCTCCATCTTTCCCATGTGGAACTCTCCCCACGACCCAATGCCACGGTTATTTATAGAGTGGGCTCTTCCCAAATCAGTGCTGAGGACGTCCCTGGAGGGAACACCATCCCTGCAGATAACATGATGTGGACAGGAGCTTACAAACAGGACATCTCAGGAAGCTTCAAACCCAGAGAAAAGAATGCCAGCCTCACTGTCAGACAATACATTGAAAACCCAAGAGAAAATGAGTAATTTCCACTTTAATATAAAAGGGATCCTGTCGCTGGTAACTTCAGTCGGGGAATAGACTGGACCTTAGCATTCAGTAAAATTCACTTCCAGATTAGAACATTTTAAATATAAAAATAAGTCTTTCAATGAAAGAGTATGTAAGCAGCGCTGGGTACATTGGCAAAACAATGAAAAATCACAATGGCAGGGCTGCGTCTGGATGGGCTTCCACAGGCCATGAGTGCCCACGCTCACAGGAAGTTTGACACCAGACTTTTGACTTGTAAATAATGCAACTGATCCCCTCTCAAGCAAGAACATTCGAGAGGAGCCTGCAGTCCATAGTAATGAGTTGGGTGCTCTTCTGAAGTGACGTGGATTCCTGGTTCTCCTGCAGAGGACGGTGGGTTCACCAGAATGAGAGGACACACAAACCTCCCCCACCGGCAGAGGGCACCAGCTGCTATCTGAACAGGCAGGTGTGCAAACCCATCTGTAGGAGATTCCCATTTGCTGCAACATGAAGAGTTCGGAACCGAAGCTGGAATCTTCTTTTTTCCAGCTTGCATCTCCTAATGATTCTTGGTATGGTTAAAATGTCCCTACAAAGACAAAACAGCACGTGGCGGGAATCAGTTTACCTTGGCCACATTAATACACCTTGGCTATACACTTGCCAACACAAAGCACTACGTTTAAAATGACTGCTTGTGATATCTTAATTTCTGAGGTATCTGTCTATAGATATATTAATATATATTATATCATAATTAACATATTTAAAACGTTTCCAGTAGTGCCTGGTACATAGAACATTTTTAATAAATGTTACTTCCCTTCTTTCCTTTTTTTTTTTTTTTTTTTTTTTTAAAGACGGGGTTTCACCATGTTGGTCAGGCTGGTCTTGAACTCCCGACCTCAGGTGACCCGCCCACCTTGGCCTCCAAAGCGTCTTTCCTATAGTACTATGAGGAATAACAAGAGAATAAAAATAATATTCATATATTCATGAAATAAATTTTTTTTTAATGTCTAAAGATTGAATCAAGATTCAGCACAAAAGCAACACCAAAGTGGCTCCTCTTACCAGGGACATCTGGGAGTACCAGAGGCTCATGGCAGTCCCCACCAGGGCCCCTCCAACCCCCACCCATCTTGTGGAGCAGGCCTCTCGTCCCCTCACCTTCACCCGCAGAAGTACCTGGGAGAACCAGATGGCTGGGGACAGACTGTTGGCCAGACACTGCACCACTGTGCAATGAGAGGCTCGTTAGCATCTAGGAATCTCTGTCACACTTGGCCACATCGCCTGGCACACAGCAGCGTCGCTCCCTGGCCCACAGGCAGAGACAGACACGGCCTCCCTGTCCTGCAAGGACTCTACCCTTGGGGTAATGGGCTCCTAGGCTGGCTGCAGCCCAGGAAGGGTTGGGTAGGCTGGGTGCTGGGGGAACAAAGCAGTCTGGTCCTCGATGATGGCTGCCCTGAGCCACGGGGACCAGACAGGAGAGACTCTGGCCCTGCCTGGAGGTACCATCAGACAGCAGAGTACTGAAGTGACACTGACGGCTCCTTCACCAATTATGATGAAGTGCCACAGGAGCCAGGGAAGACAGCACGTGACCCTGCCTCGTGAGGAGGCTGAAGAAGCTTCACACAAGGAAAAGTATCTCGGGTGGGCCACAGAGGAGCAAGAGAATCTTTGGAGGTGGGAGGGCGTATCCCAAGCAGTAAGAACGAGGTTAGATTGTGCCAGGACCAGACAGGCTGTCTGTGGCAACTGGAGCGGGGTTTGTGGCACACAAGGCAGGGATGGGAGCAGCTGTCTGGGGGGTCAGGCAGCACTGAGGTGTGAGGGGCCCTGGCTGCCACGGTGAATACAGGTGCTGCATTTATTCAACAGGCCCGCACTTCCCAGAATATTCCGGGAATCACACGTGCAGCAGGTATCCCTTTACAAAAGGACATTTTGGAAACAAGTTTCTTCATGCAGTTCTCAAGGTCTTTCATAGTCTAATGGACATCAAATCCCTGAAAGGTAGGGGAAAGTACGCAGCATTTCCTGAACTTCTTTGGACAGGAACCTGTTCTGTTGGGAGGCTGAGTGCAGGAACCCAGCTGGCGAATCGTGGCTCTGGGCCGTGCACCGAAGGCGTGGTCAGCAGGAGCCTGGGAGGCGCACTTGGAGGTTTCATAGGGTGCGCGGGGCCCGAAAGACAGGGGGCATCTCTTAGGGGAGAGACAGGGGATTGCAGGGAAATGCTATTTAATTCACTTCATCATCACCAACCACATAACTCAAAAAAACACAGGTTTTTTTTAAAGCTATTCACTGAGGCGTCTTACTCCTGACGCAGCCTTCCCTGCCTGTTCAAGGAGGAGTATATCTGGAAGACATGTTTGAGACGCAATGGATAAAACGTGGGGACAAAGACAGAGCCACATCAATCTGAAGACGGAGACCCAGAATTTTTTTTTTTCTTTTTTGCACAGGGTCTGGCTCTGTCACCCAGGCTGGATTGCAGTGCCACAATCATGGCTCACTGCAGCCTCAGCCTCCTGGGCTCAAGAGATCCTTCCACCTCAGCCTCCTGGGTAGCTGGGATGACAGGCACCTGCCATCACACCTGGCTAATTTTTGTATTCTGTTCGTTTGTTTGTTTTTGTAGAGACAAAGTTTCATCATGCTGTCCAGGCTGGTCTAGAACTCCTGGACTGCGGATCCAGCGGCCTCAGCCTTCCAAAGTGTTGGGATTATCGGAGTATGCCAACGCAGTTGGCCACCACCCAGAATCTTAGACACAAAGGAGCCTTTAGAAATCGCTCGTTTAAACCTTTCGCCCCTGGTGTGATCTCAAGCCCCTACATTGTCCTACTCTCTCTTCTCAACACAACCCAGTCTGTCTCTGTCTCTCTCAAAGCAAGCAGCCCCCAATGACACGCAAAGAGAAGCCTGCTACTGACCCCAATCTAGACAAGGGCTGGGCCAGTGGGACCTCAGGTCCTCAGACTCTGGGACTCACAGAGTGCCCTCACCAGCCACCAGAGGCAGGTCTGATGGCTGACCCTGACCCTGACCAGGAGCGTCAGGGTCACTGCATGTCAACCGTGGGTTTTACTGTGGACAATTAAAACGCCTTGCCTCCTGTTTGGTCAGGCTTGAAAAGTGATTTGATAAGCAATAATGAGAAAACCCTTTTCCACTTTTGGTAAAACACAATTCCACAGAGCAAGAGAACAAAATTTGTGAAGAGGAAATTTTTATTTGCTTCCAACGCTGGGATGAAAAGGGCCCGGGGCCAGCTGTCACCGGCTGCCCCCGCTGCCCAGCGCCTTCTCCTCCACACCCTTGGGGCACACGTTTGCAGCCTCAGCCCTTCGTTCATCTCTCATAGCAACGACGTCTTTGCAGGGCCTGCCACCACTCACGAACTCCCTCAAAACGTCCCCCTTCCTTTTCGGAAGCCTTCCTCACTGGGCTCTCCACGACCTGTCTGTGGGGCCGGCAAGGACGGCAGGGCAACAGGGACACACCTCACTCCACGTGGGACCATCATGTTAAACAGCCAGGCTGACGCCTTCACCTCCGGTACATCCAGCTGCAAGGCATCCCTGCAGCCTGGGGGCGGAGAGAGCTGCGCCCCGCATCCCCTTCCCTTCTGCTGACGCCACCTTTCCCTAACAGGCAGAGCCTGGCTGTGGCAGCTCCCCGCTTCTCCGTAGCACCTGTGTGACAGAAGGACAGCGGCCCTCTGTGGATTAAAGATGTTGATGGTTCCTGCCTGTACTATCTGCCAGAGGAGTCATTTTTTCTTCCTTCAACTGCAGATTCATCTCTACTGCCACAAAACATTGTCCCTTCTCAAGAGAATTCTTCAAAGGCCTACAACAGAAGCTCGGACCTCTAAGACAGTCACCCTTCTTGGCGTGTATGCATCTTTGCATGATGAAACGTCTTTATAACACCTGCTACACCCCATGCCGACAGGCATCTGTCATGCTCTTGCCTCACCCTCCTCCCTTCCTTACACCCCATCACCTTCCTCCCTTCCTTACACCCCACGCCGACAGCCTCATCTTCCTCCCTTCCTTGCACCCCACGCTGATGGCCTCATCTTCCTCCCTTCCTTGAACCCCATGCCGATGGGCATCTGTCATGCTCTTGCCTCATCTTCCTCTCTTCCTTCTTGGAGGTGTCAACACTCGAAAGTGGGCATGCACCTTCTGAACCACTCACGACCCCAACAGGAAATAGATACATGGGCTAACAGGAGACCTCACAAGGGGTCACTACAAAAGGGTTCTCACAGAGTTGTCCTAGGAGCCATGAGGGACAGTGCAGGGACCAGACCCAAGGCACAAAGGGCAGCAGCAGCTACCAGAACCCAGAAGGAGGATGTGCCACAGGCTGCTGGCTCCTCCAGAGGAGCAGTGGCACGGCCGGGGGACATGGCCACGTACCCTGCCGTTCCTCTCCAGTCTCCTGCTGCCTGCCCCAAATCTCCAAGGGGCTGAGCCCAAAGGGAAGTGGGAGAGCCCAGGCATCCACAGATGTAAGCCATGCAGGCTGGCCTCCTGCACACAATGCTGGGAAAGGTGGGCAGTGGATCTGACCCAGAGGGGCAAACAACACAAAGCGCAGACAGGAACTTAACAGACAGAGACTTCAGCTCAGCCATTGTAAATATGGTCAAAGAACTAAAGTAGATCATGGCCAGGTGCAGTGGCTCATGCCTGTAATCCCAGCTCTTTGGGAGGCCAAGGCAGGTGGATCAATTGTGGTCAGGAGTTTGAGACCAGCCTGATCAACATGGAGAAACTCTGTCTCTATTAAAAATACAAAATTAGCCCGGCGTGGTGGTGCATGCCTGTAATCCCCGCTACTTGGGTGGCTGAGGCAGAAGAATCACTTGAATCTGGGAGGCGGGGGTTGCAGTGGGCCGAGATGGCGCCATTGCACCCCAATCTGGGCAACAAGAAACTCCATCTCAAAAAAAAAAAAAGATTGTGATTAAGAATTAATGCAAAAGAAGCCGGGCGTGGTGGCTCAAGCCTGTAATCCCAGCACTTTGGGAGGCCGAGGCGGGTGGATCACGAGGTCGAGAGATCGAGACCATCCTGGTCAACATGGTGAAACCCCATCTCTACTAAAAATACAAAAAACTAGCTGGGCATGGTGGCGCGTGCCTGTAATCCTGTAATCCCAGCTATTCAGGAGGCTGAGGCAGGAGAATTGCCTGAACCCAGGAGGCGGAGGTTGCGGTGAGCCGAGATCGCGCCATTGCACTCCAGCCTGGGTAACAAGAGTGAAACTCAGTCTCAAAAAAAAAAAAAAAAAAAAAGAATTAATGCAAAAGAGAACAGTATCTCACCAAATAGATAATTATCAATAAAGAGAGAATTTTATACATATAAACTAAACAGAACTTCCATGGTTTAGAAGTATGAACGAAATTAAATATTCATTATTCATTAAAGGGGCTCAACAGTAGATTTAAGCAGACAGAAGAACAAACCAATGAACATGAAATCAATTGAGATTATCCAGTTGGAGGAAGAGAGAAAAAAAAAGAGTGAAGGAAAATGAACAGAGCTTCAAAGA